CAAGGATAATAATACTTACTTATTAAGATTAGAATTAATAAATTAAATTTTCCAAATTAACATTTATTTACGTAATTGAGATGGTGGAGAAGATTTGTAGTCAGAAATTTCATTACAAATGTTAAGACAGTTGTAATGTATGGGGTGGAAACCTGCAGAACTACGAAAGCCATCATTCAGAAGATACAAGTGCTCATTAACAGTTGTCTACGCAAAATACTTAGGATCCGTTAGCAGGACACTATCAGCAACAACCTATTGTGGGAGAAAACAAACCAGATCCCAGCGGAGGACGAAATCAGGAAGAAGTGATGGAAGTGGATAGGATACACATTGAAGAAAGCACCGAACAGCGTCACAAGACAAGCCCTCACATGGAGTCCTCGAGGCCAAAGGAGGAGGAGAGGAAGACCAAAGAACACATCACGTCGAGAAATGGAGACAGCCATCAAAAAAGAATTGATGAAAATTGGATAGAACTGGAAAGAAAGGCAGAGTGGGACAGTGAATTGGAGAATGCTGGTTGGTGGTCGATGCTCCATTGAGAGTAACAGGTGTAAGTAAGTAATTATATTAAAATTATAAAATTAAACCTTTCTTCCAATGATAAAATCTATAATATTTTACTAGAAAAAAGCTACTCATAATAATCCAAATGATATAGTAGTGTGATCTTTGTTTCTTTATTATTATTTTGATATGTTTAAATTAAACGTTCTGTGTTTTGAATAAGTTTCATCAGGCCAACTAGCTAAATACATGTTTATCTAGTCTAATTCTGCACGACTGTTATTTCGTCATCTTTCATCTGAATTATTATTCCTGTTCAAAACAAATGAGTTTATCTTATGACTGTAGTGAATAGCTCCTAACCTAAGACTGAATAAAAATGATCTGTCAATACAACTAGGGCATATATTGCAGAAATTACCAAGCTGAATCATGATGCACGCGCTAATTTGAAATCCTGAAGGGAAAAGGAAAAGAGGAAGGCTAAAAGATACACTACACCGAGAATTGGATTAAAAGGATGAATAGTAACTGGAAACAACTGGGAAAAATTATCCAGGACAGATTTTGATGGAGACCCTTTTTGGGTGTCCTCTGCTCCTCCACAACGGGTAACAACCGTAAGTAAGTAAGTAATATCACTATCTATTACTGAACGGAAATACAACTCCATTATTTGACTTAAGTCGTAAGTAAGAAACACTATATGATTTGCACTAACTGGTTCAAAAAGAGCATGAACTGAGAATTAAGTTTATCTTAATCTCTGTAAATCTCGATAAGTCAAGATAAGTAGTAGTTAATTAAGCCAGTTCCTATCAATTTTGTAATATTATTCCTATAAATTTAATTAATGTGAAACAGTTATTCATGTCATTTAGACTAGGTGTGACGTACTATACTACTTACTTTATCTTTCATAAATTCAGCTAAACTTGCCACTAAACATTTTCCTAATTATTAACCCCAGAAATAAATAACATTCATATACAACAAATGTTCTTACAATTAAAATTACTACTCAAAACAATAAATGATAAAATATTCAGTATTTTTTTATGTTTTGTTATTATTTTAATGAGTTCCTTAAGACCATTGTCACATGGAATGACAGTATAGAAGATATAAGAACTTCATAATAAAAATTATATTGATTTAATTTTCATTAAAACATCTGATGTAATCAGTATTTTTCGAAACATCTTTATTACTATTATTATTACTACAATTACTACTAATACTACTATTACTATTATTATTGTTATGAACGTAATCAAAATCAGCTGATGTACTGATTTTTTAAGCAAACAAATATATGCTTAAAAGTATTATTTATGTACGTCTGTATCTTAGGAGAAATTTTTATTTGTACAGAGTGAAAAATATTTTTTTTTAAATTTCATAGAAAAATAAGCAAACAAAAAGTGATTTTTTTTTCTTGATTTCAAGATGCTACCTCTTAATCTCATATTATTTCCGGTTCATAGTTTTGTGAAGATATGTAGTCTGTTTAGTCAATTATCTTTTCTGTTTGTTACTCCATTAATATTTAGTAAAAAGAAAATGGTTTGGTACACATAGTTTTGTTAGGTCCCGATAAGCATAATGAATAGTAACTTTAGGATCCATTTATGGACCAATACTAAACGTATATTTTTATCGTATAATTGTTAAATAACTAAGCTATTCATATTCATATTCCTCTTATTATAAGCTTTATTTTAACCTATGAACCATTATTATACGTTTTACCATTCTTGAGTTATGTCCTGTCTATTAGTCACTACCTCCCACATTCACAGCCACATTTGGTCAAATCTTGTACAAATGTTGCTGTCTATTTTATGGTACGTTTTGGTCAGTTTGATTTGTAAATATACCGAGTATGTTTGAAATACATGATTTATATTGCAGAGGCTGAGATTGATGTTCTGGACTTAACTGGATGGGCTAGACAAAAAGAAGGACCAATCAGTACTCTAGACTGCTCATACGGGTTTACGCGTCATTGATCCTATCGATAAGTCACTGCCCCTCTAATTGGCGGTATAATTACAAGGCACTCAGACAACAAACATAACAAGTTCCCTTTATTATTTTAAAGAGAGCAAGAACAAAGATTGGTGCACCAATCTTTGTTCTTGCTCTCTTTAAAATGGTTCTGTATGTTACCTCATAGTTTCAAACTGTTTTGCACTTACTTAGAAGGGAATTAAACAAACATGTAAGTGGTTTTTCTCTTCTCTATTATAGTTTAAATTATTATACTGATCATCAGGCTAATAACCTTTTTATTGAATAAAATAAATGTGTAACATGAAGAAATAAGCGTTTCTTTTATTATTGACTTTAAATTCGAAATCAAACATAATTTTAAGTAAATGATCATATAACAATCAGATACTTAAATAAACGTAATCCTAAAGCCTTCTCTAAAGAAAAACAACTAACAAGTAATTTGTGAACAATAATGAGACAAAATTCACAAGAAGGAAATCTAACAAATATTTATGAAATGAACAAATACACTGTCGTTGAATAATTTTGACAAACAAGCAAATATAAAACTCATTTTGTAGAAAATGAAGCTTTTATGTCTTTGTGCTATTGGTCATCTTAATCTAACTTGTAATCATATCTGTTTTAAGTTAAATATCATTACAGTTAGTTAAAACACTGTAGAAACTTTATGCCTAATATTTGTGTAGACCAATAATAGTTGGTAAAATGTGTGTGCATAAACAAAATAAGATTCCCTACAAATTTGGTGTAGCCTCACTCAAAACGAAAACAAAAAGAGTAACTGATGAATTATTTGGGATATGTCAATCAATAGTCAGCAGACTTTATTCTTTTTAACTTATTGCTGGCCGGATTATATTGACTGATTTTGAAGAGTATCTACTTAACTAATTGGCTTGAAAATTAGAGGAGCTATAAATGTTCGTCTGTTGAGAGCAATAGTTAATAAATACTAAACCCATGAGCATTTGCCGTTTATTCCAGACATATTACAACGCAATCAAAGCATGATACTTAGTGTTTGACTCATTTTATAACATTTCAAGGCTTGTATATCTTTCTTTAACAAAATTGTGATTAAAAATCCGTTAATTAACTGCTCCTTTAGTATTATGTAGATGATTTACAATAAAATAAAAACCTTATAGTTTTTATTGTGCTAAAGAACATATTTTTTGGTTGCTTATGTGACCGGAGGTACTCAACAAAAAACCTTGACCCTAGGTTCGGCACTGTTTGGGGCTTGTCAGTAAAGTATACATATATTCTTGAAAGAATTGATGCAAACACCTAATAAACGTGGTTTTGAGTCATTTAGACTAGTGGCTATACTGTATCATGATTGACGGAGTTCTGTCAGAACTAACGAACTAAACAAACCTGACACTGGTCATTAATCATCGATCAATCAACTGTAAAGTGTATGCTTTGTAAAAATTGTCTTGCTATCATCTTTGTAGAGGCCAGTAGAAAGAATTACTTAAATACATTGTTTTCATTCAGGATGTCTGACACAAATATATATTTAAATATACAAAATGTGGTTGACATTGAATAAGCTCGATTTAGAGTCTTGCTGGACTCAATAAATTCCTGGTCGCTTATTGGCTAAGCTATTGTTATAACGTGTGATCCGCCTATTAGAGAGCAGCCTATTATCGATCGAAACAGTGACGCATAAAATACGACCGAGCAGCCTAGAGTCCTGATTGGCCCTGCTTCCCTGTCTAGCCCAGCCAATTGAGTCCAGAACACAAGTTTCAGCCTCGGAAATATGAATCATTATATTTCAAACATACTCTGTTTATATAGCAATCAAACAGACTACATCGTACCATAAATAGAAAGTAAATTTTTACAAGATTTAACCTTCAGGAAATGACACAAATAAATATTGACCAATAAGGAGATGACACGTTGGAAGAATGTTGACCAATGGGGAAATGACACTACTTCTCATTCAGGAATAGCATTAGATAATTTCTGGGGTATTTTCTGAATACCCAACAGCTATATATAACTTGTCGACTTACTTACGCTTGTTACCCCTCATGGAGGAGCATAAGTCACCCAAAAGAATTCTCCATAGAACTCTGTCCTGGACAATCCTTCCCAGTCGTTTCCAGTTGCTATTCATTCTTTTGATGTCTGCTTCCAATTCTCGTCGTAGTGCATCTTTTGGCCTTCCTCTTTTCCGTTTCCCTTCAGGATTGCAAGTTAGTACTAGGTGGTTTTAAATTTTATTTCATTCTTTTATTGTTGAGACTAATTTGTTACAGATTCAGTGTTATTTATATTTTATAGTACTAAATTTAGTCACCTGGATTTACAACACAATACTACTAACCAACCAGGTTATCTGATGTAACGACTGGTTTACATATGTTTTATAATAAGCTCGGAAGTTAAGTTACTAAATAAATTTAAATGGCAGAAATATTCGAAAATAAACAATTGTATACACTTACTTGCACCTGAAAAGGTTCCATGCCATAGGTTTCGATTTTTGATGCTTCATCGATGAATTTTTCCAAAGCTTCAGATTTAGACATGCCACTTTACAATTAGTAAACAAAAAATTACAATACATACTTGCAAATTCATTTGTTTGTATTTTTAACTTTCATAACAATTAAATAATTTTACTTGTAGCATCAAAGTATGTGTAATACAATGCGGATATCAACAGGGAGCAAATAAAACAGAAATGAAACCGTGATGTTTAAGTGTCGAATGTTCAAATAAACAGAAAACTGTTACGTAATGGTATAATTATTTATCTCAATTTTTGGATCTGGATGTTCGAAGTAACTGAATTCCATAATATTTAAAAACAGGCCTAACAGTAGATTTTTATCTTTATTTTATTTTATGTCAAGCTTAAAAACATAAATCTCTGACAGTTTTATACCATAATTGACACTGTTTGGAATAGCATTCCTTTCACTGGTCTTCTATTTTCTCATTTGAGACTTGGAGGATTCTAGACTTCCAATGTTCAAGTTATGCGCGGCATATTAAGAATCTAAGCTCTAGATATAACACTGATTTATCTCAATTCTTGAATGACTTTTAAAAGTACCTCAACATCTGAGGGAAGCACGGGATACAATGGACAGCTAAGATGCAATTGGATGATCTAGACTTCGCAGATGATTTGGCTCTTCTATCGCAAACGCAACAACAAATACAGGAGAAGACAACCAGTGTAGCAGCAGCCTCAGAAGCAGTAGATCTCAACATACACAAAGGGAAAACAAGAGTCTCCGATACAACACAGCATGCACCAATCCAATCACAATTAACGGAGAAAATTTGGACAGCATCATCAATGAACACGGTGGATCTGATGCAGATGTGAAGGCACAGATCGGCAAAGCAAGAGCAGCATATTTACAACTGAAGAACATCTGCAACTCAAAACAACTGTCAACCAACACCAAATTCAGAATTTTCAATACAAATGTCAAGACAGTTCTAATGTATGAGGTGGAAACCTGCAGAACTACGAAAGCCATCATTTAGAAGATACAGGTGTTTATTAACAGTTGTCTACGCAAAATACTTAGGATCCATTGGCCGGACACCATCATCAACAACCTATTGTGGGAGAGAACAAACCAGATCCCAGCGGAGGACGAAATCAGGAAGAAGTGATGGAAGTGGATAGGATACACATTGAGGCAAGCCCTCACATGGACTTCTCAAGGCCAAAGGAGGAGGAGAGGAAGACCAAAGAACACATCACGTTGAGAAATGGAGACAGCCATAAAAATAATTGACAAAAATTGGATAGAACTGGAAGGGAAGGCCGAGGAGAGAGTGGGTTGGAGAACTCTGGTCGGTGGCTTATGCTCCATTAGGAGTAACAGTCGTAAATAAGTAAATATGTAAGCTGACAATGTTATCAACTTAATGATTATCTAAACCATGAATAATCTAATTAAAACTTTATTAACTAATGATTAATCAATATTATTACAAAGACATTCAATATTCTATTATCCCCTGATCTATTCTTTTTTATTAAATTATTTCATATAGATTTATTCTATTAAACCTCTTTTCCAAATATCCTTCATTGAATGTGAATCATTATTGTGTTAAATTATTCTATCATTTTTTAAGTCTTATTATTATTATGATGTAACATTCTTGAAATTTCTATTATGTATGTGATTTTAAAACATGCCAAATATAAATTTAGTATATTATGTAGATAAGTATACAAGTATGTATTAAATATAGTAAATAGTTGGGGAGAGAAATACATTATTTTTTATTATCATCCTATTTGAAATAAAATATTTTCTATTTCAAAAACAAAAAAACAACATTGAAAAAATTAAAAAATTACAGTGAAATAAAACAAAAATCATAGTTAAATAAAAATATTTGTGATTTGATATAAAGAATTTTTTTTTTAATGAACATTCTAAAAGAAATTGGGCGCCCAACAAACTGGTCTGAATTTCTTTAGAATTAAATTAAATTTCATTGGTTTATTCAATAGATTATGTCTAATGTAATTTTTACATTCAATATAGATTATTATTATTCATATGGTCAATAGTTCAGATGTAATGTAATCGAAACAAACATTCCGTTGATAACGATTTTTGCTTTGTTTTAGTTATCAATATTGGCTTTAGATAAATAATGAATAAGGAAAATATAGTAGTAGGATAAGAATTATATTGTTAAAAACAGATGTTAAGAATGCATAGTATTTGAACATGGCAAGAGATTTTAGTGTTTTATGCAATTAGTTCCCTTTATTAATTCAAATAAAACCAGAATAAATATTGATGCAGAATAATATGAATTTATTTTTATTTCGAGGTTTCTTGTCAGCTGCTTCCAACCAAATATGTGATAGAATTTTTACATTGAGATAAGAAATAGTATGAAATAATTGACATAATTGGATGTAAATAATTGGAATGACAAAGGTTATTAATAATAACTATATATTCATTTGGTATTGTTTTGCTTGTATCTACCCATTGAGGTTTAAGATTGCAATTGATCAGTCTGTTATTGGCATATGTGCATACTGTGCGCATGCCTCGATATTGCCTTAATTCACAAGCTTTTTGTAGTAAGCAATGATGTATAGTGGCTAGCAGTGGAATCCAGGACTGATCAATTGAAGTCTTAAATCTCAATAGGAAGATACAAGCCAAGCAATACCAAGTGAATTTAAATTCACTCCATTGCAATCTTTCAATCTACTCATATATATTATTATTCTGTATGACACCCTGAGGAGTTTCATACTGTTTTAAGTTTCACACTTTAGGATTTAATACGGTCAAGCCACTTAACAGTTACTCAATGGTTCATAAATTAAAACAACGCTCCATTCACATAGGTTTAAACGGTTTGTTTACAAAAGACTATGGATTGAATCTAAGTATATGAATCTGTAATGCTTAATGGGTTTCAAGAAAATAAATATTCATTAATAGTCTAACTGAAATGAGAATTAACCACTTAGTGGCAACCAGAGTCCATTTTACTGCTTAGTAATTAACTAATTTCATCAATTAAATTTCAGTATGGTCAACACTCTGAGTGGATCAGTATCAAAATACAAACTACTTCTCATTGGAGCTATTCAGTGTAATATCCTAAAACTAGGTTTTATACAAGTCAGTGCTTGCCACCAAAAACCAGTGGACATATTATTCACCCTCAATGATACTGCCCCCAACTATGGGATTGGATGGTACGCGTCTGAATCCTACTTCGCAGATCAGCTCTCTGATTTCGGGAAATATGTCCTGCTGAGTAGTTCCAAGAAATACTTAAACTGAGTCTAAGGCTTAATGTAGGTTATCGTTAACCATCTAAAATAATATTTTACGTGTCCAACAAAAAATCTAAAATACACTATTAGCCCTATTTCGATTTGTGCTGTTAAAATCTTTATTCCTATTGTGATAAAACCCTGAAAACATTGAAAATACACTAGGCTACAAATATATAATAACCTCTTCATATTGAAATTTACTATCACACTACATTGATATGAAATTTCAGAAACAAACCGTTGGTCTTAAGGCTTACATGATTTGTTCAAGTTGATTTTTGATTCGCCGTACAATAGGTTTTGTTAGTTGAGGAAGGACACGCATACCACCAGGAATAGTATCCACGTCAAAACCTTGAGGAATCTCCTTGAGACCATGTTCAGCTATATTGAATAAGTTTTTTTTAATTAACAAAACAAAAGACTTTTCAGACAAACAATGGCAACAAACACTGTATTCAATTGGTTTTTTAAATTTTATTTGTATTCACCTACAAGAATATCTTTAATAGTAAAGTAATTATATATTAAAAATGTGGTGGAAATGAAATACACAAATGAATAGAACCGAATCGGTAAGGTTGAACTACATTATACTGGTGAGCCTTCTATAGTTAGAAAAGTTATAATTTTTTTAAGTGTAATCCAACACGCTAAAACAAATGGAATACTCCTTATGAAGAGTTTTTTTAGAAAGTACCTTAGTTGCTAGACCACTTAAGGCTGATAAGGGAAAGCATATTATATCGTAATAAAAGGAAAATTATTCGATAAGCATACCCATCTGATAAATATTATATTCAGTGCATTACATAATGATGATGAGCTCTTTCTCCTTTGTTTAAAGTGAATATCTAAATTAATCTATGTCATTATTAGTACAGTGAATAATAAACAACTTTGTCAGATTACTGCTTAAGAAAAATTTTATTTATATAATTTTAAGATTATGGTCTCATATCATCATTTTATTGATGTTCTGAAAGTTTTCCCGTAAATCATGTATGAACTATAGGAAATTGCTTACAGAATTAGTTATAGTTTGATAAAGGATCAAAAACTGAACTGAAATTTTATTGATTAAAAGTTTCTTTATACTAAGAATAGTCTGCTTTGCAATGACAAGTTCGGTTACAAACCTCTCATAGCAAGTAGAATCCCCACATACAATTAGTTTTCATTAGTGCTTTAGCAGTAGATTGTTAAGTTTGAGAGTGTTTGTAATCACTAAACAATGACTGACAAAAGCTTTTTATGACCATTTCTAGTTTCGCTCAAGTTTACTAGTATATTATAATTTTTCCTCCTAGAATAAAAAAAGTTATCATATCTTTTCGACGAACACACATGTTGAAATTTTTGAGTGATATCGGATTGTTTTTTTTTAATACTGACTCTTAAATGTAAGTTAATTCATCTTTTATAGTTACTTCGGAAAACATGATGATGTATCATCTTTGGATATTTGAAATTATTCGGTAGATAATTGCAAATAGTCTTTTACTTCACAATGTTTGCTTAGTTTGCTTTTCAATTTCTATACAGCTTTATAACAGTTTACAAACATTGACACTACAAAGCAAGATAATATTCAATCACCGAAATTCCAATACTATGTATGGTATGTTTCACCAAAAGCCCAAACAGCACGAAAGCAATTGTGTCACATCCCATTGTATCAGAAGGGGTTTTGTGGAGATTGTAGTAATTTCAATAGTTGAAATCATTAGTCAATTAAAGCTAGACCACCATGAATAACCTGTAAGCACTGGATGGCCGTTTCCTCCTATTATGGGACTCCTCAACAGTGTGCATTCACTACCCTGCCTCGCAAGATTCGGACCCACGATCTATCAGTCTCGAGCGTGAGCGCTTAACCACTAAGCCAATGAGCTGGCATTCAATGGTGTTCGTGTCTAACTTCAACTAATCCCATTGTGTCTATCGATTTACATGTATGTGCAGAAACACGTACATAGGGATGAGCAATCGTGATTTGCAATTAATGGTAGGTAAACACATACCAAAATGGCTGCAGAATGAATTCCAATAGTTAAATAAGATCACAGTATAGACAGACATCAATCTCCATTGCGAAACATTTGATTGAGACGGGTCATAAGGTCGACATCAAATCAGCATTTGCAGTGTTATGCAAAAGCCATCAAGGACATATACTAAGGTTTATTGAAGTTTTGGCTGTACGGAAACTGAGACCCCCTGTATGCGTTCAAAAACAATTTGTCCTTACACTTAACCTACCCTGGTAATACTGATTTATTATTCAGAGTGGTAATTACCTTGTTTTTGTGTACTTTATTATTATTTTTTTCTTTGTTACGGCTTACCTTTAATCTGTCTAGTTGACATTTTAATTTTTGTATAAAAATGTCTTAACAAGTATATGTGTGATCAAAGTGTTCGAAATATATTGCGCAAATATATCACATAATTCTTATAAATTTCGTCTTTTGATTGTATTTATCAAAATTTATCAAGGGGACTAATTGTTTTGAATGAAACTGTGTCATAATTAATGGAAAGATTAAACAACCATAGCTAGTAATTATCAGATAAAAAATTCATATACCATAGTTACCATCTTGTTTATTCATTACATAATACACATTATATTTTGTATCATTTTTGTAAAAGATTAATTTTTTAATGTATCAATGTATTATTATTAAAATTAATTACCTTGTATAGCGTATGCTGCCAATTCATAAATCTTCAATGCTTGTGCTCTTAAACGACCAACATAAAAATCCCTTCTCAACTGAAGGAAAAGCAAATAACTAAGAGTTGAAATTTTAAAAAAAATAAGTATAAGATAAGTAATCAGTTAATATACAATTTCATTTATGTAAAACATGACAAATATGATATTCTAATTAAAATTGAGAATAAATAATATTATACAATATGAATCCTATACAAATATTCAAGAATGCAAAATGTAACATCAATGTTGAACATAAGAACAGATAGATTGTTTAATAAACAAAAACAATAATCAATGAAGTTCACAATATAAATCGCAAGTAATTCAGTTACCGAGGGATCGAGTTTTTTTTATTTATTTATTTCAAGCCAGATTGATACAACCTTACACATTGAGTAGAATTAAAAATATGAACGACTGAATGATATTTAAATAAATTAAATGTAGTAAGTATTTTGAGAGCATAGTGGAGAAGATTTGTAACTCAGGTGGATGATTTTGATGGAGTTTTGTTCTTTGAGCTGGATATTTATCTATCTGAAGTTTGTGCTGATGATGTCGTTTAGAAAAAACGATGAAAGCTCCCCTACTAAACCATCCAACTCAGAGAATAAAACTCTATCAAAATCTTGAAAGCATAACATGAATATTTTGAATTCAAACCTTGTAAAAACTGTAAATATTCACAACTAAAATGAATAAGATATCTTGTATTTCCTTGGTTTCTAATTATTTCCTTAGTATAGTTGATTTAATTTATGATTTAATACCGATATCAAATAATTAATCAAATAAAACAGTATTAACAGTAATATCATTGACAGACTAATACGCAAATACCGATCATTAAACCAATGATTATTTATAATTATGTCTATTAAATAATTTTTTACATAGACATTTCTTTACATACTCATAATTAATAAAATGTGTTTTATTTTAATATAAAAAAAGAAAGAAAAAAGAAAAAAAAAGGAGTAATGAATAAGATAAATATGAATTTTCATAAATTAAAAACTTAGAAAATATTTAATTGTAAATTCTTGCTAGAGTACTTCAGTCTCTCTCTCTCTCTCTCTCTCTCTCTCTCTCTATATATATATATATATATATATATATATATATATATATATATATATATATATATATATATATATATATATGTAAGAGTTTAATAAGAGTATATATTAATTATCTACAGTTTGTTCCGCTTCCTTTTATCATCAAAGCATTTACTGAATAATAAACTATTAAGTCTAATAAAATTGACATAAACAAATAAAAAGCGATATTTATACAGATTAATGTAAAATCCAGTTTATTGTTGTTCACTTATCATGAACTGTTTAAAAATTAAATTGTTATTATAAGTCCGTTGATCGGCCCCCTATGTTCTATTGAGAGTAACAGGTGAAAGTATGTAATTAAGCATAAGATTAACACACACACACACATTTTGAACAATGAAGTTTATTAGATATAAATATTTCATTGTAGTGAAATTCTGATAAATGTAATAAGATACAAAAAAAAATATGTAAAACGTTTTGTAGTTAAATATAATTTACAAGGTAAGATTCTGAAGCATGAAACGTTAAAGTTCAAACAAACAAAAATTTATTTGATAATGCAATGAAGTAGTTAAATACAAGTTACTGGTAGTTAAATATAACATGAATTAAAATTAATCATTTAAAAGATAAAATTACGTAATTTTAATAGTTGAGATCATTAGTCAATTGAGGCTAGACCACCACCTGGAAGCATTGGACAGCCGTTTCGTCCTATTGTGGGACTCCTCAGCATTGCGAAGCTACAATCCTGCAACGTGAGATTCGAACCCAGGACCGATTAGTCTCGCGTGCGAACGCTTAACCACTAGACCACTGAGCCGGCCGGCATCCATTGGTGTTAATGTCTAACTTCAACTAATCGACGAAATTGAACGACACATCCACAATTGTTTTCAGTGAGTTACTATCTCACAACCAACCCGGTTGAACTCCACTGGTTACTGCTTATCATCAGGACTCTACTACTGAGGTGTCCCATAATGGGACGGAAGAGCCATCCAATGCTTCCAGGTTTTCCATGGTGGTTAAGCTTCAATTGACTCATGATCTCAGCTAGTAAAATTACTACATTATCCACAAAACCCTTTTTGATAAAGTTATGTATTCAGAAAATTTGAAAATGAAACAATTAGATGGGAAAAAAAGTTCAAATGAGAGATGTAATGAATTAAGAGAGATATCATTATGGTAATGAAATTTTATCATTGTTTCTTTATAAATACACGAATCTGATATAACATGATTGACTTTTAAGCCTTTAGTAAATTTAAGAAGAGCAAAGTTTGATTGTCGACTAATCATCATGAAATATTTTATCAGACCAATTTGACATCCTGTATCAAAGAGATTTCATGGGGTAAAGTAACTGAAAGCCTATAATTATTTTGACGGTTACATGCAAATTTATAAACGCATTTGACGGAAACATATTGAGAGTTTCTATTGATCTTTGGCTGTAGTAAAAGGCATGTTATTTCATATAAAATAGCTGGTTTGATTGCAGATTACGTTCTGGTCAGTGTCGTTTTCGAGTCTTGTTTTATTATCCCTGCAACGTTATGGAATTTAAATTCAGGTTGAATGAAAATAATGTTTGATTTTGCATGGTTTTTTTAGTCTTAATATTAACACATTTTTCATATTTCTTGACAGACTTCCGCAGGTGTTATTTTTTTCCTGAATATTTCTCAACATTCACTAGTTTTGCTTCTAGTGTATCGGTAACATATATCCTTCCTGTCCTCTGAAATGATGTTTTGACAAGTGCTTTTTTGTAACCGACTTAACAAAATCTGTTAAAATTCAGATATAACCAACATCGCGTGTCTTTTCAATAGACTGAACGTGGAATTATCCCATCCTTATTACGTTGTATTATGACATCAAGAAAGTGTAACTTATCATTCATTCTATATATCATAGCAAACTGGATATTTCTAAGAGCGTTGTTAATAAGCTTTAACAGGTATTTTTCGGGTTGTTGACCATTACATACCATAAAAGTGTCGTCAACACACCTCGCATAATATACCATATAACAAGTCACTCCTTTGGGTTTAGTTTTTTGAAGATTAACCATGAAAATATCTACGAAAACAGAACCTAGTGGACCTCCATTTATAATACCACCAGTTCAGTTGTCTTTTCATCTAATTTATTGAAAACACTGAATTTCGTTACTTAGATTATATGACATATACAATTTAGTGCTATCAAGGTGTTTATTCACCATTTCTGACAAAATTTGTGATAAACGGACATATATGATTGACCTTATAAATACTATTGTTTGTCTAAATTCCTAAAACTTTTTCATTAAAGAAAAGGATATCATTTAGCTACAGTGCAATCGTTGACTGATTATCTTAAGAAAATCTATAACTGATATTTACATAGTTTGCGAAACGGTGCCATTCAACGGAATCATGTATATTAAACACTATTTAGATTTAAGCTGCGATCTTTTCCAATTAAGTAGTATATTGATCAGTTGTTTGAAAAATAAAATAATTATGATTATTTTGTTCATCCTGCCAAGAAAATGAATACGAATAAGTAAATGAAACTAAAGTATCCAAAGTTTCGTCTATATTCTATCAAATTTCATAATCTTTTCTACCACCGTCTATGCGGTCGCTACTCATACTATAACCTCTCTAAGTTGCTTATGAGTAACTGACTGATTTATCAATAAAAAGAATGTTGATTGGAATTGTGTTTAGAAACAGTGATATATATAGTAGTTTACCATTGTAAAAAACAAAATTATGTAAATAACTTTTAAAAGCTGAAAAGCTTATATATTATAAAGAAAGTAAATATGGTTGGTCACTGAGTGTGAATAAACAGTCATTCAACTTACTGTTTACTATATGTGTGATTCCCTTTTCTCTTATTGATTTCTACTCTGTACTCATTGACAGTGACTCTTTGTAATCGTGTGGAACAAAGTATTGTCTAGTATTACTCTGGTTTTCTAGTTTGTTTGTAAATCGGTTATCTGATAGAAAATGATTTAGTCTGTGTACAGTGTACCGTTTGAATATTTAATCTAATGGTATTACAGACTCGGTCACCAGTTTTTATTGTCGTAATATAGTCATATTATGTATAAAAAGAAAACTATTTTAATGCCTCTGTTATATCACAAGTGATTTCATCATAGTTCAAGACTGTTTAGCTGATGATAACTAGACATTTTAAAGCTAGAAATCTACAGACAATAAGTTTTGAGAGAAACAGAGAGAAAATTTTATCATATGTACTCAAATGAAAGTAAGTGATGAAGACAAAATAGTGAAAATAACATACTGTTCCATGGCGTTATTCAAATAACGGTGAAGGATTTTCTACTTAGTTAGATCCTTCACCTTAGATTTTATAACCAATTAACTTAATAAAAATTACCATTTAATGTCAAGCGTTTATTCACCTTGTTTGATGTTTCTTAATACAAAACAATACTATTCTACTGGTAACAGTAACCGCATAATTTACGAATTCTTTCATTGTGTTCCAAAGATTAATAAAAAACAGTATACTTCTCTACCACACCGATTTACAGTACTTTATTTCATATTTCAATTATTATTTGGAAATTAATTTTAAAGTAAGCAATTGTTTATTCATTATTACACAACAGGAAGAAAAATAAGAACTGTTTTCCTTCAGTCAATTTTTTTATGTAGTTGAGACTGAATTCCTATTGGCAGGTAATTTTCTTTCAATGAATCTTATTAAATTTCAAACTAAAATATCTTGAATAAGCTTTTTAACAAATAAAATCGTTTTTTTGTTTTCTGATCTCCTTTTGCTTTGCAACAGTAAAGATTCACTGCATAATTGGTTGATCACATTTGTAACTTTAAATGTGAACAAATTATCCGTGATTAAACAATATCCAACTGACAACAAAATTTTAATCATTTTCCTCCTAGTTAACTAATAAAAAAACTAACTTATCCATATTTTAATTTCCGATCGTTTTATTGTGTTTACACGCAAAGTCAAGATACAAGTTTATCTTTGAGACAAAATTATCAATGAATGTGCTTGTTATATATGTATAAACTGGTAATCTGGCTACAATTCTGGTAGGATAGGTCAGAAATTATAAGAATAAGTATCGAACATGGAGGTCAGCAATTGTAATTAAACCTTTTTACTTGTATGATGTGAAATTTATAAAGCTTCATACTAATGTCTTGAACAAGATTTCCCAAAACTGATCTAATTACACTTTAGTAAATACAAATAGTAAGGAACATTATGAATCTTAACATATAATCTAATGATTTTGTTGCGTAATATTTCATCTTAACAAATTAATATGATCTACAAAGTATATACATATATAAGTCGATAAATCTGAATGAGTTTTATTCGATATATATAAACAGTGTGAAAGTAATCAGTCCCTTTGAAAAATTTCGATAGTCTAATAAGAATGTATTCAATTATTATTATTATTATTATTATTATTATTATTAACAATTCAGAGTATTCACTGACAAACTAAATTGAAATAGGTTAGTTATTCGTTCATAAAGTTGAGCCGAAAATGTTACCTTTATTCATAACATAATCTTTTTTATCGTTAATGATGTTAGACTCAAACTATTTGTACCAGAATGAAAGGCTTTAAATGTAAATGTAGAAGAAATTTCATGAGTTTTTATCTACGTGAAGTTCAATTATTCGTTGTAAAATGTAAAACTTTGTTCCAATCATGTTTAATCTTTATAAATTTTTTGGTTATTTCAAATTAAAACATTGATTAGTATTTATAAACCGTATTTTGAAAAATATAGTCTTAATCGTTAAATTCATGAATTGATCTAATCTAGACCACCACTGAAAACCCTGAAGCACTAGATGACCATCTCGTCCTAGTGTGAGACTCCTTAGCAGTGTGCATCCACGATCTTACACCGCTGAAGTCTCACACTAGGATAAAACTGCTATGCAATCCTTCCAGGTTTTCAGTGATGGTCTACCTTAGATCGAACCATGAACTGTTAAAATTAGTACAACCTCCATAAACTCCCCCGCCCTATTTTAATAAAGAAACCTCCTCAACTATTGTACATATAATAAAAGCATATATATATATATATATATATATATATATATCATCGTTTAATTATGTAACGATTTAAAATTATTTCACTTAAACCTTATTATCTGAATAAATTTGCATTCATAAAAGTACAATTTTATGTGGTGAATTGTAACAAATATATATGATGATATTTTTAAATACAACTAAGCTCATTTCTGTCAGTTTAATAAAATATGAACATATTTTTTTCTAATGAACACACAAATGATGTAAGCCTTTAATTAAGAAAATATTCCAACAGGATAAACATTCGGATTTGTCAAATATATTTAATCTCACTATCCTTACTAAAAATTAAAATCAATATCAATCAGGTTAAATTGTAAACTATTATTTAAAATTCATTTTGTATTGGTTGTTTGAATCTTCTCATTGATGTTTAAAACAGTAATTGATCAGTCTTTTATTGACATATGTGCATACTGTGAGAATGACCTCCATATTGATTTAAGTCACAAGCATTATAAGCAAAGATGGATAATGACTATCGGTGGAATCCAGGACATACGATTTGTCCTATTTGGGACTCGTCATCTAGGTGTACTTGCATCACTCCTGTACTCGAACCAAGTACCATTCGCTTCAAACCTCATCACATTATCTACTTAACTACTGAGTCCTGATAGCCACTAGCTTGTGTGCGTTCTGTATTTCACTGCTAGCCATCATTTATCTTATGATTTACAATGTTACAATGAACATTATTTAATTAATTAATAATATTTTTAAGATTTTAATTCATGGAATAAAATTAATCAACTAGTATAAACTGAAATATTTGATTTTTGTTGTAAAAAGAATGAAAATCTTTTTGCTTGATAACAAACAAAGATTATTATTAGTGTCATTATTACTAGTACTATGTTATTACAACGAAATTGTTCAATACTTACCGAATTGTTTCATTAGGGAAACACGTCAATGGATTGTTTGGATAATAAATAAATCGAAAACCAAATGTGGAATTTTTAACTTCTGTAAATATAAAACAGATGTAACAAACAAACAAAAAATGGAGTCCACTAATTATGAATCAAAATTATTATGTACAAATAAATTGGCACGAGATGAGATTATGGATTCAAACTGCTGAAGAATCCCATAATAGGACGAAACAGCTGTTCAGTGTTTCCATGTTTTCCATAATGGTCTAGCTTCAATTGACTCATTATATCAACTATTGAAATTACCATACTATTCACAAAAAACCCTACTGACACAAAATTAAATTGGAATAAGAATGTTTTAACAGGTTCATACATAAGTAACAAAATAATACATTTAAATTTAGACAGTTATTTTAAATGATAAATCATATGAATTTTTCAATACGTATTGTCATTAATAACTTTGAAAATGGCACAAATTTAACATACATATAACAAAGACATTAATTATTTTACAAGTAAAGTTGGATATATGATGAATTAGTATGCTTAATATTATATCGATTTATCATCAATGATAATAATCACTTGGTTATTCCTAAATGTAATGAATTATTAATAGATGTTATCGAAAAAGGGTTTTGTGAAGTTTGTAGTAATTTCAACAGTTGAGATTATAAGTCAGTTGAAGCTGAACCACCATGGAAAACCTGGGACCACTGGATGGCCGTTTCGTCCTATTGTGGGAGTCCTCAGCAGTGCGCATCCACGATCCCGTCTTTCGCGAGATTCGAGCCTAGAACCTATCAGTCTTGTGCGCGAGCGCTTACCCATTAGACTACTGAGCCGGCAGCCAACGGTGTTAATGTCTAACTTCAACCAATCCAAAAAATTGTGCCACCATCACTATTGTTGAAATTACTACAATCTCCACAAAATCCCTTCTGATAATAATCATCTGCTCACTAGTGATTGACATTTAGAGGCATTTCCTGGAGTTCTATTGAAAAGCTGTTACCAATGGAGTTCAACCAGGTTTTTTGCTAGTCATCAGCTCACTTAAGACAATGGTGACGGTGGCGTAATTTCGTGGGTTAATTAAAGTTAGACATTAACACCATTGGATACTGGCTGGTTCAGTGATTTAGTGGTTAAGCGTCCGCTCGCGAGAATGATAGGTCCTGGGTTCGAATCTCGCGAGAGGTGGGATCGTGGATGCGCACTGCTGAGGAGTCCCACAATAGGATGATACGGCCATCCAGGGGTTCCAGGTTTTCCATGGTGGTTTAGCTTCAACTGTCTCATGATCTCAATTGTTGATATTAATAGATGTATTGGTTTTGTTTTACTTTATTGTTTGTTTAATTGAAGTTGAAATTCATGTTTAATGAAGTAAATTCAAACTTAAAATCTTTATTCAATGAAGAAAACAATGTAATATCTAATTTTTTTATATTAAAGATCAAAATGTTCAGTAAATGATGATATTATATTAAATGAATTCATAAGACAAAATTGTAATATTATATCTAATCTAGAGACGTGTTTTCCTGATAGCACATTTTTATAATTAGAAGACGGTTTTGTGTAGATTTTAGTAATTTAATAGTTGAATTTATGAAGCTAGATCATCATAGAAAACCTGGACGTACTCGATGGTTGTTTCATTCTAGTGTGGGAATCCTCAGCAAGTTTTCTATGATGGTTTAGCTTCAATTGACTCATGAATTCAACTATTGGATTTCTTATAGTTTAACAGGTGGCGTTTCATTCATTTGTTTTATATACTGTATCTGAAGCTGTAGGTTTGATGAATAACGAACAGGATAACATTACAAGTAGGCAATAAATTAATTTAAAGAGAAAAACAACCAATATCCAGTAAATTATTTAGAGTCATCTTTACTCGAGAAAACCAATAGATTAGATTGTTTTCAGTAACATTTTTAAAATATATGAAATCGGTTACTTCAAATATTATTACACCTTGTTAATGAATATTCTATAAATGCCAAGATACGAAAAGTAAACTATATCTAATCCACTTGTATTTGGGTCACAAACATCTGCTAAATGATCATATCTTTGAAAGTTACATAAAAATTCATTTGATATTATTGGTCTGAATCTTCCCATTGATGTTTATGACTTTAATTGATCTGTCTATTATTGGCATATGTGCATCGAGTGAAGAATGTCTCGATATTGCCTTAAGTTCAAGTCCCGGAGTGAACATCAAATCTGAACATCAAATCCAGCTGACGAGACCGAAATAGGACGAAACGCGTGTCCTAGATTCTACCATCTATCTTTGTGAATAAGAATGTGTGAAAGTTCGTGGATAATCAAACTAATACATAGCACCAAATAATTAAGTTAGTAGTCATCAGTCTAAACATTGTAAGAGCGTACAGTCATGATGACTAGAGTCTGTGAGTCAAATGAAATTAACCGTTCAGAAAGCTGAATAGTATAATTCGAAATCTATTACATCTGTTGAATATTCGTTTTAACTTTAAAAATTTTAGTGTCTTACTTTTGACAATATGACTATTGATTTTTATTTTGTCTTAGTTATCATATATAGTGCTTTGTACAAATTCAAGAAACTCCAACTGTTAGATATTTTTATAGCAAATTATGTTTCGCTTCTGTCTAACTATTTACGTAGGTGATATATACATAATGAATAAATAAAACACAGAACATCACATATTGATCAAAAAGTATGATATGTACTCACCTTTAAGCTGTTTACTAATTTTGTCATTTAAATTGATCCATTGCTAAGCGAGAAATAAGAAAACGAGTCTTATCAGATAGTAACTAATCACAAGTATCTAAATTAAACTTAATATAATTTAATGAGTACGGTAGGTTAAGAATATTGTATATGGACTGATGTTAAACGAACTGATCGTACAAATAATAATGATAGCAAATGCAAAAGAACTGAAATATTATGAAGCAAAATCAATTCAAAAATGCATGATGTTTACAGGTATCCGGGAGAAAAGCGACTGATAGTACGTTTTGAGTAGCATCACCGACATAACACAACAGACTAGATTATTATTTCCAAGCTTTTAAGCAAATTAGCGATATTATATCTCACTAATGAAAGTAAACGAATTGAGATGTAATTAAGTCAGTGCCTTTTTACGGTAACGAGATATCAATTTTAAAGTTGAAAGGTATATGACTATAAATAAAGATTTTTGGGCTCACTAGTTATGCAGTATATGGCTAAATTGTTCCAAAGTATCAATAAATCCAGTAGCTAGCTTTTTATCTGATATATGAATTGAAATGCAAATGGTCAAGAAAGTCTAATTGTATGAAACGAAATCGATTACATCACGTTAAATCTACTCATTTCTTATCTCGTTTAGTTTCGCAATTATTTTACTACATTTCATTTATATATCCGACAATCCATTCACTCTGATCCTTTATATTCAATTTAATATTATCTTGTTATTACAGATCGCTTCTTTCTAGTATGTTAATTTGAACAGTGGAAATTTCTTGCATGCTTTTAAGCTGTCCTTTCTGTTTCCCTCTATGAATAGGATTAGGAAAACTGTTACCATTTAAAGGATAATATATGTATGAATGTTAAGTAACTGGACTTATATTCTTTTAAATATGCTACATGCGAACCACCATTCAAACAGTTATGATTGTTTTCTTCGAACAGATGAACTAAAATTAATTAAGGATCACTTTTAATTTACTTTCAATTTCTATCTTTTAAATGTTCAACGATATTTCTATATTTATTTTGTTATAAGAATATGTTGTAAATCTCAAATGAAGAATTTAGAACTGACAATGGATATAACAAATCAATATATCCATTCTTATGAGCTGTTGCAACTTGAATATATTGATAATCAATTATTATTTTCCCCAACAATTTGGCGGTTTTATTATGATCGAAACATAAATTTATAATATCTGAGATTAAAATAGCTATATATTTTATTAAATAAGCCGTTTGGTTGACTAAGAGTAATTTGTTAGTAATATCAAAGATTTATCTGAATCTTTGCAATAATTGTTTTGGTTATGTTGATCACTCTATTACGATTATATATATATATATATATATATATATATATATATATATATATATATATATATATATATATATATAGATTGATATAATGAATGGACCAACGTTAAACTAACATTGACAACGTGGAAACACTATACGGCCGTTTCATCTTAGTTGGTAAATACCGAAACCAAAGGCATATAGTTTAACTTTTAACATTAAATTCACAAAGCATTTTAAACATAAAATGCATAATACATTTTAAGAACAATATACATTTGAAGTCACATGGTATTCAAACACACGGCTTCTGAGAAAAAAACAAATATTGAGCGTACAATAGATGTATCAATACGAAATAGACAGTAGAAAGTATACATACAAAACATCACACCTCAGAAGAAAATTTTTGTTTTAACTCTTTGTTCAATCACATGACTTTTTATTAAAAACCAAACAGTACACAAATCATTCACTATTTAACACTTACATCACTTAATTCATGCAGAAATTACAATATTATTTCGGTTGGCGGAAAATCGGTTAATTTTCTAATAATATGTTTCACATTAAATTCACTTCGTATTGTTTACTTGAATCTTCCCATTGATGTTTAGAACTGTAATTGATCAATACCTTATCGGCATATGTGCATTCTGTGCGTATTACCTTGATGTTGTCTTAGTTCACAAGCATTATAAGCAAAGATGGATAGTGGCTAGCAGTGGGATCCAGGACACGTGTCTTGTTCTATTTCGGTCTCATTAACTGGATGTACCTGCATCTCAGAGTCCATGTTCACTCTGGGACTCGAATTCAGTATCGAGGCAATCCGCACAGGATGCACATATGTCAATAAGAGATTAATCAATTGCAGTCCTAAACATCAACTTCACCTCATTACACAAGCAAGTGGCTATCAGGACTCAGTAGCCAAGTGGATAACGCGATGGTACTGAGCTCGAGTTCCATAGTGAACATCAACTCTGAGATGCAGGTACACCCAGCTGACGAGTCCCAAATAGGACGAGACACGTGTCTTGGATTTCACTGCTAGCCACTATCTTTTTTTGCTTATGTTTCACATTGTTAGGATTTTAACACTATTTTTCTAATAGACACAGGCCATTAATGTTTCATTCTTCATTTCTATTTAATTAGGGTTTTAATGTCATTTTAATTTGTTACTATGACATCATTTCATAAAAACTAATAAAACTTTTTTAGCATATTTAACACTTATGAAGTCTTATACAAATGATCACAAATAATAGTATTTTTAAACTTCACTTGACTGGTAAGGTATTACAACTTTCTTTAAACATTTTCAATAAGTCAACTATTTTCAGAATTATCTTAATAAACTCTACTAATATACCAAGTATTTCGGTAATTTATGATTTGCAAATAGCCAATCCGCTGATATGTTTATCTACTTTATTCAGATAATTATGATAAAATACTATGAAATTAATGATCTATGATAAATCATAATGAAGGGTAATTACATATATTCACATTTCGATTGCTAAATGATGATTCTAGTATGAAGATTTATTATCCTCAATACATTAACCGCTGTGCCAACAATTTATGTTAAATTATTTCTTAAAAAACGACAAACACTGAAGGATTATTGTTAATCACACATTTATACTTCATCATGAAGATTTTTTTCCAATGACTAACAAATTTTAACACATCAAAACCACTTACATTCATACCATTATTGTCAGAATAACGAAGTCCAAAATAGGATATATATGGGAGAACATCAAGACGTTCACAAACAACTTCAAGTAAACATCTTCCAAATGCTTTATTCTAAAGGTGAAGAAAAAAACATTTAAAATGATATACTTTTTCGATGGTTGTCTATGATTATGTAATAAAAAGATTTGATTAGCATATAATTGAGTGATCCGTACAAACAGGATTACTAAGCTCTATAAGAATTATAATTTAGTTGTTCACGTTACTTTCAAATGACTTAATATTTCAAACATAATTTTGTAATATTACATGTTAGTTATTTCACAGAAATAGTCTCCAAATCATTATTGTAGAACTAGTAATTTAGCAGATCTCTTAAGTTAGCATATGACTCATGTTTGTCAGTAGCTTAAACTGAACAACCTTTAACAGTATATATATATATATATATATATATATATATATATATGTTTTCCAAACAGTAGTTATCATAAATCATAAAAATAATATTTTATATGATAATCTATTGAATTAATCCATATACGGTTCTATCTAGGGTATCTATTTTTTATACATATTTACGAAAGAGAAAGACACTTTAATATCTAATCTAGAACATTGAACCAAAGGTTTAAATAATGTATATAGCAACTAATCAATAACTGGTACACATTATGTACTTCATATTCAAACAATTTGGTTTATTATTATACAATTCTTAAAATCAAATTTAAAATAAGTCAAGTCTTGTTTCGTGTGGGTTGATTTATTTTTTTTTTTATGAATTAACTACTTACATAACACATGACTATGATAATTACTTACATACTGAGACATTAAATTAAATAAACACCTACACAATTTTATTCACATATTTTATGAATTAGTGTCTTTAACTTTTAAAATTACACTGTACATATCGAAGTTCATTTAAGGTTTACAGTTTGTTTTTGTTTTAAAAAAAAACATAACAAACAGTACTATCTTAGTCACTAATAGTTAGTGATTATGATTAATACATTTACAAACCAACTTAGACTATAACAATCCTTGAATAGATCTAAAGTAACAAATAGATATTACTTTGTTTGTTTGTTCATTTGTTTTGTCAAAGTCAATAAGTTGACTAACGAGAAATAAATGTTGTTCCTTTTTTTTCTTTTTACGTGACCACAATCCTTAAAACTTGTATCAGACAATACTATCATAAATCATTGTCATTCTGTATTATCCAAATGAAGAAGGAGAATCTTATGTCTAAAAACAAAAATTACTAAAATAAATTATATCAAGCTAAATAATTAATATGTAACATTGGAATGAAATATTTGATCTTTACACGATACAGTCTATTATCAAATTTTTTTATGCTGGGCCAAGAATGAAACTTAACCAAATTCAGACCGATAATACTACCTTTTAAAAAATTTAAGTATAATAAATACTTTATCTTGATTAGAAATTTATACGATCCTAATATGCTAAAACTTTATCATAATCTTCTCTCTGAGAAATGATTTGATTTTTAATATTAATTGTTGCAAAGTTCAGCTTTTTAGGATATGTGTTACAACCCTTTGATAAAATGGTTCACTACTCAACAACATGTAAAGTAAAAGAATAGAGAAAAAGTAGTTGGCTAGCTTACAATAATGGAATTAAATGTAGTTGATGTGGCCCAAAGCGAAAGTGTATTTATAAATTTACGTGCTCATGTGGGGCTCGTTATATAGGCCGAACAAAGCGATCGCTGTCCAAACGCATCTCAGAACACTATCCAGCTTGGCTTTTAAAAGGAGAATGTAAGACAATCACTAGTTCTATACAAGAGCATTTAATCAATTTAGGACACACCGCTCCCAAGTATTCTTCCTTTAAAGTGATCTACAGAGTCAAAAGAATTGGATCGAAGGGGTGTCGAATCGATATATTATGCACTGCTGAGGCACTGGCAATTCACGAACTCAAGCCCGAACTTTGCGTGCAGAAACGATTTGTCCAACCTTTCATCCTTCCTTGGCCCTAATTCCCTTAATGGGTATGTTTCTGTTTGATTTTTTTTTGTTTTTGTTTTTTCTGCACTTTTATTTGATTATTATCGAATTTCTTAAAATTACTATTTTGCATTTTAAACTCTAATCAGTTATTATTATTATTATTACCTTATCCAAGTTTTCATGATTATTATTCAGTTTATTATTATGACCTTTGTGTTTGTCGCCTTTCTTCATATTTGTCAATTGGACGATTATCAGACCTATAAACGATTTTCTTCCTTACCCCTTGATTAGTACGTAATCTCATCTGTTATTTAGTCTCGAATCCATTTTGGTGATGCAATTTTTTCTATCCTCCAATAGACATACATTTTCCATATAACCATATATACGAATGTACAGCTTAAGTAAAATCTAAGATTCTAGACGTTAAACCACCTACTCCTTATAGCTTATAACTCATTTAAGTACTGATTGCAAATCATCACAAGCATTACAGTTTGGTTTTTATAAACTCATACAAGTTATAGCTTCTTTATTTCTTGTAGATGAAATATTTATCATCTGATTTGTTTATTCTTAGTGGATAATGAACTGAGTGAAACAGTAAGTAAATTCTATGTTCATCAATTTGATTCCATAGGCGTTTAGTAGGAAAAATAATAAAATTTATTCCGTGGTTACCAACTAGAAAGTGTTGTATATAAGTCAACATAACATTAGTTCTTAAAATCAATCCTGTATTAATATAAAGGTATATGTTAATACATTATTTATTCCATGGTTAGAAAGTTTAAATCGCATGCCAGACGTTCTAGAAAATTCCTCTAAAGTCAATTAAAGATAACAAAATGCTAATATATATATATATATATATATATATATATATATATATATATATATATAGAATAAATTTATCAAAATTTTAATACCATTAGAATGTATTAAATTATTCGTATTAATCACATGTTATTGAATTAAAAATATAATTGACAATATACAAATGGTGAGTTCTTGCTACGTTAAGTATCAACTTTAATTCAGATAAACATAATACATCTTTTTAAAAAAAAATTATTTAGTTTTCTTTTACATAATCAATTAAATTATAAAAATTTTGTTTTAATATTGATAAGTTAATTTTGTATGGAATATTATTGATTAGTCGTTTTTATTTTTTAACTGTGTACTGTCTTGTCAAATTGATGCATACCTCCATGAGTATTGAAATATTGAAATAAGACTTTGTTGATTATACATTAAACTATTAGTATTGGTAACTTTTACTACTGTTATTACTATATTATACTAACAAATTGGATTGATGAATAATTAAGAGAAGTATGTGACCTGATCAATTATCCATCAAAATACCCAACAGAATATTAAATAATAAACAGGAATATTAAAACTGGATTAGTATGTATTACTTATCAAACCATAATAAAACTTTCACTGATATGTTTCCATCTTCTTAAAAGATACAAACTATGTTACCTCAAAAAATGTGTAAAACGTTCGTTTCAAACTAATCTTTTATGATGAACTCGGAGATCAGCAAGACATGGTACGAAAAAATTATTCATGAAAGCGTACAATTTTGATATTTACGTTTTTTAATGCGACAGATAGAAGAGAATAGGAAAAATGGCTAGAATTAAAAACATTTGAAGAGTTCACTTAATATGAAATAAACGAAAATAAATGGACAAGTGCTCAGCATCTAGAAAAACGGAATTCAAAGTACATTTCTAAACTATGAGTAAATTGGTCAGGAACTTTGACCTTCTGTGCTCTTCTCAGTTAATAATTCCGTAAACTAATGCCAGGTCTTGGTTCAGCTACCTGTAGTCTTTTAGAATTCCACTTTATGCCAGTTTTATACTCGCTAGATTGTCACAGAGTAAAATGTCAGTAAGAAATTCCCTAAGCTTTTTGTAGTATGAAATAAGTTTTTTTATTTTGTCCAAAGGGTGACGTAATTATTCTAATGCCAGAAACAGAGGCAAACATATCCTGACTTCAAACAGCAATCACATTATTGAGGTCTTGATCCCTTGTAAATCGAACCACACTAATGAATCAAAAGAGAGTTGGTACCATCTGGTAGCTATACAGAGAATTTTTAATCAAAATTTACACAGTAATTAGTCCAGTATTTCACTGAATTTCGTAAGTGACAGTTAAAAATCAGCTCTCTCTTTTATCAAAAATAGATATGTTAAATTTCCTTGACAATTAATAAGTTTCACTGAACTTTTAAAGAGCAAAACTGAAACTATAAGGCGTGAAACAGGCACACAGATCTAGGATTGCTATGAAAAACGGTTAAATAGTGAAAAACTGTTTATACGTAACAATGCTGATCTCTTTTTGATGAATATCACCAGGCTTAGTGCTCAAATAACCGTCTCTCGGCGAATGACTTCAGTTGTTTCTATAATTTATTACTGACCAATGACTGTTATTCTAACCATGGATATTGATTTAATATACCTGAGGATTATCATCTAGACCAATTTATATCAGACTAAACCTTATCTTTCCCATTGAAGCTGAACTCCAGCTCTAAGCATCATGGCTTAATCCATGTCTTGTTTGTCGGGAATTAATTATCACTGAACTTCAAAAATCTTTATGAATGAGTCACACAACTTAATTGATTAAGTAGTATAGGTTCACCTTCTACCTGTATAAACGCTCAGGCATAATTTTAAACCGTTTAGTTTTATCATTTTGATTGATATGCAACAGTTATTAACAGGTTAAAAGGGCTGTTCAGAAAGTTGAACATTATTCAGTAAAGTAACAATTGGGTCAAAAATTTTACTCAATAATGGCAATAAGCACAAAACAAGTGCTGATAAAAATAAGTTGAAAAAAATTGAACATAGCGCTATCATTAAAGAACAAACTGACACACGAGGAGTAGGCAGTTTAATAACTGCGGGAATATCTTGGAAAATGCGAATCCTGCAGCCAAAGCAAAACGATTTCATTACTCCTCTTTTAGCATTACGTATGTGAAACAATCCCAAGCTAGAGTCTAAGCCATGAAGTTTTATCTACTTATTTTGGGAGTGAAAAGCGGACCCAACATAACGATCGTGATTAGTAAAACGGGAAAACAGAACATATGAGGACCAAGAAGTAAAAAACACTAGTGTTGCCTTTGAATATGGCACTTAATAAGTTCTATAGTTCAAATAGTTTTATCTTATATCATTAGTACTATCACGCATCACTGTCACGATACTAATGCTACTAAACTATTAAACCGGACAAAAACAGTAAAAAACTAGTAGGTTGTTGTTTGATTTATTGAATGCACATTAAAAACTTGGTTGACTTCCATTACCAAATTAGTTCAATTAGGTTGATTAATAAAGTGTTTGGAAATATTGTTCATTGTTCGATGTCGCGTCGCGTATCGGGAAACTATTCTTTTCCCAAAGAACAACAGAACACTATGAATAATTAAGGTGCAGATAGGGGTATGAAAAAACCCCAAACATAAACGGTACAAACCATAGTAAAATGTATCACAAGATACTTTATATAAGTATATGAATCTTTTAGACCGAGCTAGCATTAAATGAAGAACTGAACATTATTTTAGAACGTAGATGAGACTGAAGATAACATAGATATTTGTAGTTTGACAACACTTTAACCAGTAACACGTTTGATAATGAATCGTGCCCACCCAGTGAAATTAAAGGTCAGAAGCGATAAGTTTCGAAGATATATTTGATAAGCTATCAATATATCGAGAAGCAACTGATCTAAACTGGCTAGCGGTTGCGCGAAAAGTTGGGCACGGCGTTCTCACTCGTGATCTGGTGCGGATGCATGGCCGAGCGCCTTCAGCTAGGTGATTCCATTAAAATTAATGTGGTCAGCATCTAATATCGAAGACTCTCAGAGTTATTGATTTTTGGAATTTATTTACTGCGACAAGGTAAGTATGAATGATTGCTAAAAACCACTAAACATTATCAAACCTAAAGTGTTTTTTTTCCTTGTGAGAAAATAAAAGTAAGAATAGTTATAACCTACTCTAGTTAGTCGCCCCTTTGTAAACAACGTATGGCCTTAAAAACATCTGTACAATTTCATGTTGTCACACTTAACATCGGCACAGTGATATGAAGTCAAAAAAATATGAAGGTAAAAAAGTCAGGTTTACAGCAACGACGACTATGCTGGACCAAATCTGAGAAATAGTTTTCGAAACTAATCAATGGGCTGTATTGTTCCATTTTTTTATGTACTTCCAGTCTTATTACTGATTGAGGGTAACCCTACAGTCTACCACTTTGTACACTTGAAGACTAACTTGACATCAGACTTCATCCGATTCTTTAGACTACGTAAATATTTTCACTACTTGCTAGTTGAATACTAAAACTTCCAAAGACTTTTCACTGTTTCAGTGCCTGGTAATAGCTTGTTCCATAAATATGTTCGGATCAAATAACCATTGTTGAAACTGGCTAAAGTTTTCTAGATTTCCGTTTTCCTCAAATGGAAATGGTCTATTTATAAGACTTGAAAAACGGTTCCTATGTTATTGTGATCCATTCTACAACAATGTACATTTTAAACATAGACTTTAAAATGAATATATCTCTAACGGAAATTGAATCCTCTTTTTTACTCAGGCAATATTGTATCGAAACAGTACTTCAAAGTAAAGTGGCTATCAGTATTACTATGGAAATTTGATTCAAATGAGTTTATATTTTGAAAAGCTTTAATTCGTAACTACTCGTTAAAACGATGACCTTTACAAATCATAGTCTAATGAATCGCTTACTGATACTGAAACGGACATGCAACGATCATCCAATAAGTGTACGCTACAGGGCATATCAGCGATGGACGTATTGCTTCCAAATAACCTTCCTTTGTTTGGACTCAATAAACTTAGGATAACTGATTTTCTGCTCACATTATTTTTGTCATTTTCTGATTCATGGGGCTGAGTGGACTTCCAAGATAGTGACATTTCAAATCTGAAACGCAGTATGGTTACGTTCGGCCTTTGATTACTTTGTGACCAGCTTGTCCGTATGTTTTGTCAGAGAAATTTGTGAAACACAGTATATGAGAGAATCTTATAGAAAAAGAGGTGAAAAACAAGTAAATAAACCAATTAACAATTAAATTGAACTTACATATAACAATGGAGACTATCGATAACAAATAACAATTGCAATCAAATGTGTGACCAATATACATCCAACCTTGAAAATTATCCATCATAACAATCTCTGTGGTTCATGATACGTAGATTTCAATCCTTCACCATATTCTGGATAGCTATAACAGCCTTAAATGGCATTCGTAGCTTTCTCATACAATATTTTATGCATCATATGTTTTAGCAGTTCATTTGATGCGTTTTAGTCACTCACGACGTAGAATCTGTACGTATATACATTCAGTCCAAGTTGCCATAACCCATTAGCACAAAGAGATGATGATTTTAATCCACGTCCCAGAGTGATGAAAGAAATAACAGTGTTAGTGGTGGTAAGAAAGATTAGGCATCAAGGATACGACTCTAAAAGAAAACATAAATTAGCGAAATAAGAACAGAAACGTTAAAAAATGTTGGAGTCTCTGGATTTAGAAGAAAACAAAGAATTGATAGACCTCCTTCAATTCAAATGATTTTCGGCCATGTCATTCGAAGTCTCTAACCACTGGAGCCCAACTAGTTAGTCTGTACCAAATAGTATGGCCAAGTCCATTTGTCCGTAACTCCACGGATTGATGCCCTGTTTTGGTCGGACCGCTTTTTTAAGCCTGCTTCGGCACCAGACAACATCGGTCGACAGGGTAGGCAGTGGTTCGACATACGCAACACATGTCTCAACCACGTCATTTGATGAAGACTTACTACCTCATCAGTTGATTTACCATCATTACCTGATACCCTACGTCTATCCTCAACAGTACACACCCAATGGTCCCAAAACATATGAACAATGCTTCAAATGCAGCTATGGTTAAATGCTAGAAGCCTGAGAATATGCTTTGTTCTTACTGGCCTGGTTTTACCTCCATAATGTAAAACGGGAAAATGTTGCTCATTTGACTCGTCTTTTGATTGGATTTCGTCAGAATCCAGACCACCAGTACATTGTAACTCCCAAGATAAATAAGGCTGTTGATGTGTTCAGCTACTTCACTTCACATCGCTTATTCAGGAGGTGACGCAAACCGATCGTGAAACAACATTTTACGTTCAAAAGGAGTGAACCTCATTCAAAACATAATTTTATTGTTGCGTAAGGCAGTCCAAATCTCAACGTTTTGTCAGAGTTCCTACCAAACACAGTTACGTCATCTACGTGTTCTAAGTCAACAAGTGAACCTCCTGATAGATGATTATTCCCTAAAAAGTCAGACGATGAAAGTATTATTTCTAAAACCATGTCTATGATAATGAAGATGCCACAGGTATTCGGAGTTTGACAACGCTTTAACCAGTAACACCTTCTAATACGAAGCGCACCCACCAAGTAAAATCAAAAGACAGAAGCGAGGAGATCGAAGATATATTTGATAAGCTATCAATATATCGAGGATCGTTGGCACTAATCTGGCTAGCGATTGAGGCAGATGTTGAGCACGGCGTTCCCACACGTGATCTGGTGCGGATGCTTGACCGAGCGCCTTCAGCTAGATGAGTCCACTAAAACTGTGGTCAGCATCCAATGTCGAAAACTTACAGAGCTATTTGATTTTGGGGAATTATTTACCGCTACAGATCACTCCCCCCCTAGTGGAGTAGTGATGACCCTAAGACGTGGCCAGCCAGAAGTTTAAACCCAACGAGATTTTCGTTGGTAAACACTCTTCTGATAGCTTGCTAGGTTTAGCAGCGTCTGGTCGTCTTTCCTTACTATAATGGACCATGATGTACAATATAGTAAAAAAAGGTACAATGCAGATTTTCGTTTTTCGCAACTTCATCGTTCTTTTCCAGTCGTCCTGGAAAAGAAAAGAAAAATATGTAAGTGCATGTCGGAATACACTCGTACGCGCGTGAAAACACAAAACAAGCGAAGAAAAAGGAAAACAAACTCATGCTCACGTAGTAGCGTAAAATAAGATTTTTATAATATATATAAGCATATTAAATTCAGGTTTTTTTTTTAAAAAAAAATTATATGTAGTACAAAGGGAAATTCGAGAGGATGTAAAATGTTAACTTGTATCTTACGTGCAGTAATCCTTCAAGTGTTCTGGAAATCTTACTCTTCTTCCAGAACGCGTTGTTTTGGGTTTATTTTCGGATACCGTCGCAGTATCAACGTGTGTGTCTGCTGTCGATTGAGGCATTATAAGCGCAGGAGTTGTGTCGTGCGATTGTATTGAAGGAAAATCGACGTGAATAGGATTTCCTTCTAAATACGCTGCTTTGAGGCGATCGATGCTGATGCTTTCGTTGGTTCCGTTCTTATCTATTATATAGTACTTAGATTCGCGTTGAAGAACTTTGAAAGGTCCTTCATATGTTGATTCGAGAGGTCGTCGATGCGAGTCTCGACGCACGAAAACGTGTGTACTATGTAGTAAGTCAGGTTGAACGAAAACATCAGTTGATTGTGGTCGAGTGGAAACAGGTTTAACTGAACGCATTGTGTTTGTAAGCCTGTTCGCGTAGGAGGTTAGATCCATGTCCATAGAAGAGGATGAAGGATCCACGAACTCTCCTGGAAGTCGAAGGGTCGTACCATAAACGAGTTGAGATGCAGTGTATCCAATGTCAGATTTCACTGCACTGCGTATGCCTAGTAAGACGAGTGGAAGAGCGTCAGTCCACTGAGAAATGTTTGAGGCTGATAGTGACGCTTTTAGTTGTCGGTGAAATCGTTCTACTAACCCGTTTGCTTGTGGGTGGTAGGCCGTCGTTCGAAAGCGAGTGATTCCTAGTTTCATGGTAAGACAACGGAACAGTTCAGATTCAAACTGACGTCCACGGTCTGTAGTGATGGTTGTTGGGCAGCCGAAGTTTGCTACCCACCTCTCGACGAAGGCGCGAGCCACTGTTTCAGCAGTAATATCTCTGATGGGTACTGCTTCTGGGCATCGAGTAAAACGGTCTACGCATGTTAAAAGATAAGAATATCCATTTGAATCTGGTAAAGGTCCTACCAAATCCAAATGAACATGATCGAAGCGAGCATCGGGAGTTTTAAACGAGCGTAAGGGACATTTGTTATGCCTAATAACCTTAGATTTCTGGCAGCTTACACAGGAACGTGCCCACTCCCTCACATCGTTATTCATACCAGGCCAGCAAAACCGTTCTGCTATAAGCTTGATGGTTGCACGAACACCTGGATGAGAAAGTCTGTGCAACGTATCGAAGACGTTGCGTCGATATTGTTTCGGCACGATTGGGCGATCCCTACCTGTAGATGTGTCACAAAGTAAGGTTTCCTTACCTGTTCCCATCTGTTTAATGCGCAGTTTAAGTGTTGTTGAGGCCAACTCGTGCTGAAGATCACTGTCTTCTTTTTGAAGTTGGGCGAGTTTTAAAAGGTCGATTCCTTGGGAACTGTTCAAGGAATTTATACGAGACAAGGCGTCTGCGACTACATTGTTTGCTCCAGAAATGTGTCGAATATCTGAAGTAAACTGCGAAATGTAGTCCAGTTGTCGAGACTCACGTGGTGAGTACTTGTTCGAAGAAGAGCTTAAGGAGAACGTAAGTGGTTTATGGTCGGTAAAAATGATAAATTCACGGCCTTCGATATAGTGTTGAAAATGCCGGACAGCACAATACATAGCTAGGAGTTCCCTACCGAATGTGCTGTACCTCGATTCAGTGTCTAACAACCGTCTAGAGAAAAATGCCAAAGGTTGCCAGGAGTGGTTAACCCATTGTTGTAAGACTGCTCCGATTGCTGAGTCGGATGCGTCTACTGAGATGCTAATGGGCGCTTTAGGGTCCTGATGAGCAAGCATTGCTGCTCGGGCGATATGTTCCTTAACCGTGGAGAATGCTTTTCGGGTAGTGTCATCTAGATTAATGGATTTCGCATTTCCACGAAGTTGGTCAGTAAGGGGTTTCATAAGTAACGCGCATTTCGGTATGAATCGTCTATAAAAACTTACCAGACCGTTAAACGTGCGCAATTGCTTGATGGTGGTCGGTTCTGGGTAATCCAGAATGGCCGCTACTTTCGTTCTAAGGGGTCGAATGCCATGCGCATCTATAGTGTGTCCTAAGAAGTCTAAGGATTCGGTTCCGATTTGGCATTTCTGAATGTTAACGGTAATGCCATGCTTTTGTAGTCGGTCGAAAACAATGTCCAGATGCTGGAGATGTGATTCTCTGTCCGGACTTGCTATTAGAAAGTCATCAACGTATGCATGTACGAAGTTGAGACCTCGAAAAACGTCATCTATGAACCTTTGGAAAGTCTGTGCCGCGTTTCTCAGACCGAAAGGCATTCGCAAAAATTCATAGAGTCCGAAGGGCGTTATAATAGCGGTTTTTGGAATGTCTTCAGTGGCCATAGGAATTTGGTTATACGCTTTAACCAAGTCGATTTTTGAAAAGACAGTTGCACCTTTCAAGGTAGCTGTCAGATCGTGAATGTGGGGCAACGGGTAACGATCGGGAATGGTTTTTGCATTCAATCTCCGATAGTCACCAGTTGGACGACAATCGCTGCTGTCCTTTTTAGCGACTATGTGCGACGGAGATGCCCATGGGCTATTTGACGGTCGTATGATTCCTAAGTTTATCATATGGTCGAATTCGTTTTTCGCCAACCTTAACATTTCGGGGGCCAGTGGGCGTGCTTTCGAGAAGACAGGTGGTCCTGTAGTCGTGATGTGATGTGTAACATTGCTGGTTACACACGGCAATTTCGGTTGCGATTGGTAAATGCCAGAATATTTATCGAGTAGTGGTTGGTAGAAGGGGTCTATAGTGTGCTTAATAGTGACTGGGGATAACCTGCAACCAGAAAAAGAAGTCAGGCAAACAGATAAATTAGTGTTTCCGTCAACTAACCTCCGTTTGCGCGTATCGATAATTAAGTTGTGGTGTTGTAGAAGGTCCATACCAATGATTGGCATAGAAACATCTGCAACAACAAAAATCCAGTGAATGGGTTTGCGTAAACCCACGTTAAGATAAACATACCTTTGGCCATAAGTAGCGATAGGCTTTCCGTCTGCCGCCTGTAGATTTAAAACAGGCTCGTGT